TATTTAACTGCCTACGGTAGATATATTTAAATTTGTCTTTTGGCTCACTCATCATTGATCTAGGCGAATTCTATCAATTTTTGGCTGCCATAAACTTTTGCCCGACATACCCCTACCGACGGTATCATAATAAGTATTGATTAAACGAAATAATGTCAGAAAGGAAATCTCTGCCCAAACAGGTGAGAATTTACCAACCGACCTACCAACTCAATTCCAAGAAACATTTCCACCAAGAAAATGTTAAGAAGTTACTTCAACAAATTGTGGATTCAGAGTTAAAGGAAGTTGAATATAGTGAAAAAATTATTCCTGATCTGTGTTTGACACTGGCCGAAAATATTAGAACAGCAATAAAAGAAGAAAATTATGACAGGTAAACTTAATAATTTACTATGGTCAGCACTTGGTTTTGGTTTCTTTAACTTCTGCTCAAAAATTAATAGTAATGTAACTTTCAAAAAGAGGTTATGCGATAATTGTTATTACGATGTATATATTGCCGGCATGGGTTGCAGGATTATCAGTTGCATCATTCGTTTACTTTTTCTGTTTTAAAAAGAAGAAGAAGAAGAAAAAACGCCGATAAATTAACACGTGCTGATTATTAAAGAAAGTAAGATTATTTTAGATATATAAGTAGATAGCAGTCTGAAATAATAATAACAATTTTTGACCAAGGCTCACTCAAAACCGCTCACTGAGCGACCTTGAGCTTCCTCATACGGCCAACAGTGAAGGACCACGTCTCAGAGCCATAGGTCATCACTAGCAACACGCACTGGTTGAACAATCTTGTTTTGAGGTTTGAGGTTTGCCTGATGAGAAGATGTATCGTAATCTTCCGAACGCTGCCCAGCCGAGTTGAATCCATCGATTGACCTCTCGGTCGAAGTTGGACTTAGGTACCTAGTCGGACTATTTGTCCCAGGTAAACATATTTGTCAACAGCTTCGAGTTTAGTGCTCCCAACAACTACCGGCATAGGTGTGGCAAAGACGTCACATTATTGAAACTAATTTTTACGGATTTTATCGCGTTTAACTTTTTAATTCCCGACGTTTCGGGTGCTTTACATCACCCATGGTCACGGGGGGTACTGAGGTGTTTGACGTCCCGATGTCATAATTAGCCTGGCTACCTTTAGCTTTTGAATATTAATTTTTGGTCCAATCTACGCAGTATGAGCTTACAGTATCTTGAAGTCTTGCAGTGGTATGCTTGGGCTTGGATTTAATATTATTAATTATAGGATCCCAATCAGGTGGCAGCACCCATCCATCTTCGCTGTTGAAATTAGGATGTTTTTTAATTTCAATAGCCTCGCGAATCATCCTTGGTAGGAATCGGTGTTCTTTTGGGGGGATTTATGGTCTATCAAATCTAATGTAATGGCGGGGACGATCTTGAACATGTTCACACACTGCAGAATTCCCGGAACGTCGGTGCTTCAAGTCAGCTATATGTTCTTTCACGCGGGTTTTTATAGAGCTTTTTGTTTGTCCTATGTAAAAGAGACAACATTCACAATCCAGCTTGTACACTCCTGCATCTTGTAGAGGGATATGACACTTGACGGATAGTAATAATTGACTAATCTTCTTCGGTAGCTTGAAGTATGTTTTAATGGAAGCTCTCTTCAAGATGTAACCAGCTTTGTCTGTGACTCCTCTGACATAGAGTAGTACAGCAGGCACACGCTCGACTGTGGTCGACCTAACTCGGTCACTGTGACGTAGGCGCGGGACACGAAGCTTGTCATAGATAAATATATATGTAGCAAGCTAAAGCTTGTTGTCTAGCAATACTTGCTCGTCGTGCTGAAGCTCGGCGGCCAGATGTTTTCTGTCACAGATCCCTCGTGCTCTCTGAAACAAAGATTTTCCCACGGTAACTGTGATGGATGATGGTGCGATTCACCATTTAAATATCGGTTGGTATGGGCCTTTTTCCTATACACAGTGTGACCAATAATGTTATCAGGATTTCGGTTGACTAAAACATCTAGGAAAGCTAAAGAATTCTTTGCCTCTAACTTCATTGTGAATTGTATTTTAGGGTTTATGGAATTAAGGTGGCCTAAAAATGCAGTTACTTTGTCAGATGGTAATATTGTGAAAGTATCGTATACATACCGCTTGTAGAATCTTGGATTTACAGGAGCAGTAAGAAGGGCTTTCTACTCAAAGTCCTCCATGAATATGTCGGCGAATACGCGAGATACAGGTGAGCCCATCCGCACACCATCTACTTGCTTATCGAACTCTTCCTTCCACAATAGATAGCCAGATGTGAGGCAGTGTTTGAGTAATACTACATATTCTGTATGCATGTTATTATCTTCTAGTTTCTTAGTTACAATTGAGATGCAGTCTTCAATAGGTAAGCATGTGAATAGTGACTGAACATAAAAACTGGCCATAGTTTCATTGTCAGCGAGATATAAGTTAAATTAAACGCGATAAAATCCGTAAAAATTAGTTTCATTTAATGTGTAGCCTTCGCATAAATATAAGAAATCATTAAGAACGTTACACACAACTTTTGTTTTGTCCATGTTCATATTAAAACCTATCCGTTAAGAGACGCTGCTAAGTTCATTGAGCGTAGTGCTTATGTCCATTCTGCCATAAGGACTATGTCATCGGCAAATCGAAGGTGAGTGATGTACTCGCCATTGACGTTAACACCGTATCCTTTCCAGTCCAATAGCTTGAAAACGTCAATGCAGCGGTGAATAGTTTCGGTGATATTACGTCACCTTTTTGGGGTCCTTACACCTGTCTGCAGTTGGATGGGTTTCGTACTCTGGTTCTGTACTCGGATAGCCATTGTAGCTCTACTGTACAAACTATATTTACCTCCGACAATTTGTCCGACAAGAAGAAGTCCAAACAAGTCGAATTTAAACTCCAATAAGACACTGTTAATTTCCACAACGTCATACTGAATAACGTTCAGTTCGCGTTCACTTATAGAATACCAGCGTAAAATAGCAGCTTTATGCTGCTGTATTTCGAATGGTGAGTGTAGAGAACCGGAGACCCTTTTTACTGGAAAAGAGGCATTCCATCTGAGACCTCATGACTGACAACGCATCTGCATCTTGATTCGCAAACGAGGATAGATGTAGATGTCTATAGGCCACAGCAACCACTTATCATCAGGTAGACTGTGTGCTCGCTTGTCACCCTTTTCCTGTAAAAAAAAAACTTAGAAAGAAATGTCAAATTGTTACCTAAGAATCTTCACGTTATTTAGTAGATACGCATAAAGGCATTTCCAACCTCATGGAATTCTATTTTCATCTCTAGGTTGGAGATACCCTAGCTCTTCGCTGCGGCGGAAGAGTTGTCTTCTCCTTGCCTCTTACCTTTCGCAGTTAAGGTGGAGTCAAGTTAGGAGTTAAAAGGGCGTTGGTGTAACGAGGCGCCACTCGTCCTACCTCCGCCACTCCCGAAACATTGTTTGAGATCACGTCGAATCGAACATCGATTATGAGGATGGGAGAAACGGTACATAATAGGAGAGCCGTGATGAGCGCGCAAGCGCCACTGTGCTCTTTTGTTTTTCCACTCTGAGGCCTTAAGCGGGTATATCTCATTAATCCGGTCATAAATTTAAAAATAATCATTGAGGATATTTCGTCCGACATACCTGAGAAAAGTGTAAAGTCAGATCATGACCTAGGTTATTGAGGTTTCATGGCGATATGAAGCACATTAGATACAGCCAATTACGAACAGTTCACCTGACATTATAAGAGAAGGAAATGATTTGATTAAACGCGATAAATTCCGTCTACAAACTAGTTTCTTTCTATATACAAAAATTTATTACTTGGATTTTATATTCACGTTAATTTAGTGCTACATATTGTTTCAGATACAGAATAATAGTTTCAGTTACAATTGGTCAGAAGAGGCAGCAAAGCGTCCATGTTTTTCACTCTTTCCTTTGGGATCACCAACGGGATGCTTTTGTTACGCACAACTTTGAAAATTGTCACATTTACGCAAATGTTGTTGTTTATGGCGTCTATTTAGATTAAAGTGAGCAATAAATGATGATTCATCAATTATCTGTATATATAATTTCATTGAAGTTCCTAGATTATTATTTTTGGTAAATCTCAAAACTTTTAGTTTCGCGACGTAATCCAAGGGCCGGCACTAACAGACGTTGTCGGGGTAGAGCAAATCGAATGTCACGGCATCTGTCAGCATCTATAGTGATTACTAGACGTTGCTTGGGTTTATTTCTGTTCGAATCACGACTATGAATTCGAAAAGCTAATTTTCAACGAGTTGTTTGGTGGTGGTTTGGAATTGTTAGTGTCAATACTTTGATATTAACAAATTCAGTCCATTTGTCTGATTGATCGATCGAACTATACTCGTATGGTTAGTAGTAATTTTACCAGTCTCGAGCACTTGCACAAAACAGCCAGCCTTTCTATATTTTACAAGATACATTTCGGTATGCGCTGCATGACATAATACATCACTATTTACCATCAGACGTTGTAGTTAGACACTAGCTTATAAAAACCCATAGAAACCCAAATAAATCACTAAATCTCCTGCGTCGCAATCCTATAACTGCATCGTTGTCTTTTTACAGATTTTATATGATGGACGCTACAATTTGATCATAGAGGCACCGGTGCCCGAAGTTAAAATTACCCGTGGACGCGTTAATGTTGTGGGTTCACCTAATGGGACCACGGGTAAACATTGAAAATAAGTGTATAGACAATGACGTGCCGTGTATTATCTATGGCCGTACCGCTGCTGCCATGCACCGTGTGGCTTTGCTCTGAAGCCACAATACATTTTGTAACATGAGATTCAATAATAATGTTTCACACACCTTTTAATCAGTCCAGTAATATGTGAATCAAAGATGATTTTTTTTCCTATGTGGGCTGATAACAATTTAGGCTTAAGTTGATAGTAGTGTCATAAAGTAAGGTATAAAAATGAATAAACACATTTTTACAGATCATACATATTTATTTATCCATTTCATAGTATCGATATCACACTGGCCCGCCCTTATAAAAATAAATGTGAAATACAATAAAGACCCAGCCTATTTAAATCAGCTGGCGTGACCGCGCGGGTTCATCAATCACTGGAACTTTACCAAGGATAATAAATATTGGCATCACATCGACACTAACCTACAACAAATTTTGGGCACAATCACAAACGGCGCGGTCACCCCATCTCGTTTAAACTATTGAATGTCATCGGTAATTCTTATAGACGAAAATTCAGATAATTCTAAACCATTATACAGGTCAATATACACAAAATTCAATTAATAATATACGTTTACATTACAAGAAATTCGCATATATTTGACACATAAAGCGACGAATATTACTAATGAGAAGAATAAAGTAGCTTAAAGATTTTGGTCCGAGACACTGAAGCGATTTGTATTCGCGTACAATACGAAACTAGCACCAAGCCACCGTACGAAAAACGAAGCAGCATTGCGGCTTGCTCGCCGCTTCATTACAATACAAAAGCTACTGAACCCGTCCATTCTAGTATGGACGTTGGACGCACTTGCGCCCAAAGTGCTCACAACCAACGCCTGCAGCTCAGCCGTCCCTACAAGGAGGAACCCCACGCAGCTACCATAATGCGAATCGGATTATAAAATGCGCTAACGCAAACTATGCTCGTGCAATAAAGTTCAAAAAGGGGGTAAAAGTCCATATAAAAATCCTAAGTTTGTTAAATGAAACAGTCATCCATTGTATCGAACATACGATGCGTCAACGCTATATTATGGCAGGTTTATTGTTATTTGAGCAGAACGTGTTAATGCGAACTTCTAAAGCCTTGTTATACTTCGGCAGTTCCGGTCTACGTAATTCAGCCTCTCAGTTATAATTTTATATCCGCATGATATGTTGTTACAGATAAATCGTTATAGTACTGGGTACACAACTACAACCATACTGTACATTATGGCGAATAAAGTTTTACTTACATCTTATCAAAGAAATCAGGAATAGTTAAATATATGCTAGTTATATCAAAAAGAAATGCAGTGAATATTGTTATCAAAATATTATCCTAATATAAAATGTGTGAAAGTGTATTTATGATTAGATATGTGGGTATTTGTGTATAAATTACATAAGAAAGCTTCTATAATAAGAGATCTCATCATGGTCATTTGGTTTACAAAAATATGACTTATATCTTAGGTGCCATTTGTTACATTGAATTTTACACGAATTATTAGGTTGCCATCGAAAACCTTCAAAATCTACTTTATTCCGATTAGCTCTTCCTATAACCCCTTCTATGGATGCTTTAGCTAAACGTGGAGCTAAGATGGACGTCAAATTCAATACCACACAATGACTGGTGCATAAATAAAAACCAGATAAACTTTCTTAACTATAAAATAATTTACAAAACATCTAAGTATAAAAATATAAATTCAAAAATACTAAATTGCATTTTAAGCTTAATAAAAATAAAATAAGAATGTCATGTAATGGCGTCATGAAAATTTAGCGTACCTACTACAAAATATCACACGTAAGGTTTTTAATGATGAATTGTTCAATAGAGCGGTGCGGCGAGTGTGAGTGAGGTGCGCCCGAGCGGCGGATCGGGTCTCATGGGCCAAATTATAAACATTTACTAATAAAATATTAAAGCTTAACATACATAAACATTAAGCATCTCTGCACCTTAGATATATAATAGCCATTCAAAATAACTGCTGATTAAAATATCTCATCTTAACATAAGGTCTTAAACATTAAACGATAAAAGACTTGAGTTTCCAAACAATTACTAACTTAGGCCAGATTAAAGTAAAAATTAAACCGTAATGAGGATAAAAATTCTTAATTCGCTGTCCTATGTCGAATATAATCGAAGTATGTTAACACAGGGTTATAATTTATTATCCTTAAAATAAAAACAATGTGATGACAGATGGATATAAACTAAACTAATTTAAGAATTACTTATCAGTCCTGTGCGATCCTGATCCTATATGTAGATTAGTAAACTATAAGAGGATCGTACAGGGCAGTATTCAGACTTATTAATTTTAGTTTTAACATAATAAAAACAAGAGGCAACTCAGTAATAGTTCGGCCGCGGCGCCGGTGTACAAGCAGTGGCGATGCGACGCGTCAGTAAACATCAGCTTCAAGTCAACTCTAAAATAATGTATCGGCGGTGGTTCGTCGGTTTAGTCGTCTGGAGAAACAATTCAGCTAGACTCCTTTTCCTTCTCCTTCTCTTTCTCCTTTGATTCTGAAAGAAGAAATATCTATTCAAAAGGATGATACTCAGAATAAAAGGTTTTAATTTTTTTTTACTTGTCATTATTAACTTTATGTACCCTTAACGACGTCCGTTACTCATTCAAAATGTATTGGTAACAATAATTATGTATTTTAACAATAATTAAACGTTTTCTATTAAGCCAACGCTTTAACTATAGCTCGCAGTTAAGCTCTCTAACTTATGAATGTGAATATATTATGTACGTAGTCAGTTGCTTTTTAAGCATATATAGCATAAATAGGTATTAATAAAGATAAGGCATGCTAACTCTCGATATTATGATGTTTGAAATTTGAATGAATTGAAGTGCAGAAAAAGTTATGCCTTGTATTTATGAACGTCGTCGTTGTAAAGCGGTACCGTAGTTTTTATATCCAAGGCCGTATGACTCGACTCGTCATGACCAAGCCGACTAAGCGCACATTTACGAGAGCAGACTTCATGAAATTTATTATGACATTGCAAAGATGAACGTGATTCATAACGGGTGACTGTTCAAAGTGATTCAAATATGGTTTGTTTGTAAGAAATAAATAGCAGCTGCTATAAAAGCATAAAATTTAGAACTAAGTAGAAATAATATTAAGTAAATAGTATTTAAGTAAGCAAATGTAAAGATTGCCGCCGATGAAAGCCTCCAATGTGCGCTTAATCAATAGTATGTGCGTAGTAAGTCCAAAATAATATGAAGCGAAAATAAAATCAATACATGTAATATAATGAACGTACGATGTGAGGCGTCTACGCAGCTACGCATGCCTGGTCATAATAGATCGAGACTGACCTTCGTCGCTGTTACCATTAGAGAGCGGCTCCTCACCATTCTTTTCACCGTTCTCTGCTGGCTTCTTCTCTTCTTCTTTCGTCTCCTTATCCTTCTTTTCCTCGGAGCTCTCTTTGGCTGGCTTCTTCTCCTTTCCGGCCTTGCCCTTCGCGGGAGTTGCGGGCTTCGGTTTGGGCTCCAGAGACGGGTCGAGCACGAGTTTGCCGATGTTCTTGCGGTCGTGCATCTTCTGCATAGCTTCGCCAACCTAGGATCGTGTTTTGAAAAAAAAAAAGCAATAAAAAATAGGCAAACATAAAGCGGTTATCAAAATGTTATATAGGAATAGTAGTTTAATTTTGAATTACTGTTTATAAATAATATTGTAAAAAAGGAGACAATGAACAGTGTTCTTTTAAGTGTCAAATTTTTTGTCAATAACTTCAAATTTTTTAATTCTCAAACGTTCATAACTTTGACCAGGATAGAAAGCTGAATAATAAGAATGTTCAATTTTTAGTTCCAGTTCGTAGTTCGAATTCCCGGATCATATAATATTTGTACAACGAAGAAATAATTTCACTTCGAGCTCGATGTCCGATGTTTCAGAAACAGGCATATGGACTGAAGCAGTTAAAAAGACAACGAATTTTGAAAAAGAATATTATAAAACAAAAAACTGTTAGGTATCTGAAAAGAAACTAAAAGGCAAAAAATTAAATAACTATTTTTTGTTCAAATAAGATAATTTAAAAATAAAAATTTTGTACATCCGACTTCAATATAAGTTATTAAGAATAACTCAAAAACTATTGGTCTGACCTTGATCAAATTCATATGGGACCACACGACAAGTATCAGCTTTCAAATAAAAAAAATTATCGCAATCGGTTCACCCAGTACAAAGTTATGAGGTAACACACATAAAAAAACACAGTCGAATTGAGTACAGTCTCCTTTTTGGAAGTCGGCAGAAAAATACGCGACTGCTAATAAAGATGATGACTTTATGACAGCTAATAAGTGAAACCAGAAGGGTTCCGCCGCAATTGGGCTAATAGAATGCAATGCTATTTTTAAAACTATAACAAAGTGAGTTGTTGTACTTACGTCCTCAAGGGCCCAAGTGGAGTCGACGAGGGGCTTCACCTTGCCCTGCCTCCACAGCGCGAACACATTGTCAACAGCACGACGGACGTAATCGGCGCGCCCGTGTTGGAACAGTAGATGCCGCAGGTTCAATCCCGCCAGGCTCTTGTTCTCGTCGAACAGCTTGATAGGCGACACCTTGTCAACTTGCCACCACTAAAATACGTACAAATGTGTCCTAGGTTTTACAATCGCTTCCAACGCTTCGAATCACTTATGTTTTAAAACCGCTTCATATTCCGCTTAGCCTTTAGAACATGAATCATGATAATAACAGGGTTTTAAAAGGTAGACCCCGCTTTATGTTTCTCTCATGGCCGAATATTCAAACTCTACACAATTTTAAGATGTTGTTAAGTCTCGTGGTGTCACACTCACCTTGACTTAAAGTGATAGAGACAACACGAGACTGAACGGTATCTTAAAATTTAGCAGCGTTTGAGTATCTGGGCATTAGTTTTTCGAACTTGAACAGTTTTAAAGTTAATCTAAAAGTCAGTCTAACATAAAAATTTATGAATTTCTTAGTTCTATTTTTTTTTGTGTTAACGATCAAATATCGTTTCAATTACCAAATACATGTAATATTACACTTAATGCAGATGAGTTGTAATCCCTGAGGACGAAGATGGTCCCCGGTTCTCTACAGTCACCATACGAAACATAGCAGCATTACGTAGTTATTTTACACTGGTATTCTGTGAGAACGTCATCCTTCCTCAGTCGAGCCAATCCATTCGTGCTACAACCATAATCTAGCTGTAGCGTGGCTCTACCATGTTTAAAATACCCCGTAGAAAGAAAGTTATACCAGCCAGTGTAAATGAATGAAAAATTTGAACAATTCGTGCAATTTGTAGCTTGCCTGGCTTTAGATTTGCTTGGCTTTCGCTTTGCTTGGCTAGATTAGCCTTCTCACTCTATACTCTTCTATACTCGTAGTCAGCTTGTTATGGTTACTTTACCATGTTTCTAAATACTACAAATAAAATCGTAAATCCAAATCGCATTATCGCACATTATTTGAAGTGTGATTAAATTTTAGATTAAGTGTCAGCACTCGTACACATTTTACCACGTGCTCGGCGGTGAAGGAAAACATAGTAAGGAAACCGGCATGTCGGAGAAATAAGAAAAAGAAAAAATATTTCGAATACATATGAAGTTCGCTAACACGCATTGGGCCAGCGCGGCGGACATTTCCTTGCCCTGCCTTCCTGCCTCTTAAATGAGAGGAAGCCTGTGCCCAGCGGTGGGTCGTATATAGGCTGTAACTAACTTTGACTTTAAAATTTAACTCATACACACACACACAGTCTTGGCTTCCTGTAAAATATGTCTTTGAAAATCAGATAATTAAGCACATTAGATACTCACGGCACGCGCTGCGCTAAAGAAACTCTTGGTCTCGCCGGTCACGATGTTGGATGATCCTGCGATAAACAACATTTCCCAGTTAGTATGTTTAGCTTTAAAAAACCTTTGGTTGTGTATGGAATGAATAGCAATGTTGCGATTTACTATCAAATCCTTGAAAACGTAAAAATACAGAATATGATTCTTTTTATCATTTACCTTTTCTCCTAGAGTATAAATAAGCAAGCTATATAAATATTATAAGCCTTTTGTCTATTATTTATTAGTTAAACGTAAAAAAGAAAGCTGCTTTTTAAATTTAAGTTTATTAAAAAACTTTTTAAGCTTTTTTTAAAAGAGATTTTGTAATTAGTATCAATGTATCGACTCTGTATTCCCTATTTCGTCACAGCTATACCAACTGCTGTATTCTGCAAGTCTTAGTCCAGCAGAAAATTAAAATATACTATTGCGAAGATGTTCTTTTATGTCAAAGAAATATTTCTAGTGTCTAATCAAGGAGTTTAAGTTCTTACGAAATTAAGTTAACAGAAAACTTACCATATAGAATGTATCGGCCCATGGGTTTCATGAGCTGATAACCGCGGTTGCATTCCTCGCCGCAGAGGCAATCCAGCACAATGTCGACACCGTCAGGTGAAATCCTACAGAAAGAAATCGATTTCTACATTAATGAATCATCCTCATTATTTGTGTATTGCAGTCCACAAGAAATAGGCATACGATGATTGGAACTATTTGCCGATATCATCATCACCACCGTACATATAAGAATAACGAATTTTCGTTATAAAGTCCGTATACCCTGATGATGCTATGTGGTGAAACCGGTCGCTTTTAAAATAAGTGTAATAATAATAATCTATATAAATAAATAAAATTTAAGTGTCTGTTTGTAATGTTAAAATAGTTTTTACTAAGTGCATAAGAAAGTATAAAACAAAAAACATATTATAAATTTTTGTCCGTATGTCTGTCTGTTTGTTCCGGCCACCGGCTAATATCCGAAATGACTGCACTGATTTTGACGGGTCTTTCACTGACAGATAGCTGATGTTATAAGGACTAACATAGGCTACTTTTATCTAAGAAAAATAATTAGGGGTCCGCAAATAAAAATTTAAACCCTTTAAATACAATCGTAATCAATTTTACGCGGACGAATTCGCGGGTAACAGGTAGTTTAAAATAAATATTGTGAAACTAGCATAAGTGTTTATCGAAATCACAAAAATAAAGCTGGAGTGACAATAGTCGCAACTATAAATTATAAATACAAAAGCTACTGTCGCTTCCAAATTGACTGTAAGATCACCTAACTTTTTAAAAATTTATATGGCATTTCACGTTGAACACTATTGTTTAATAGATTTATTCTTAAAGGCATGTTTACCGATTAAATATAACTTTTAAATCCGAGGATTCTAAAGACTTAGATCAATCAGGGACTATTAGTATTTGTTTGATTTAACCCTAAAATATACTATATTAATAAGATACTTCACAATTCTTCATTATCATCATCGTCATTGCATCCTATCAAAGTCCACTGCTGAAAACAGGCTTCATATCGAGTTTAGCAGGCGAATCACTCACTGTGTAGCAGTTTGGATTTATGAAAGGTGCAATATATGTATTTATCATGCTTGGCAACATTATTTATGATGGTTGGGGGAACTCATAGAATGCGACTGGTTTGTTTCCTAATTTATCTAATGCACTATCAAATTCGATCTGTAAATTGTAATATTTTGATAAATAATATAATATGGTTTAAAAGCAAACATTGTTAGATTTTTATCATAGTAAAAGAATGCAAATAAATGTTAAGAGCTTCGAAGGTTTTGTAATAAAAATGGCCGAATCACAGGGCATGATTCTAAGCCCGTTTTTGTGTTCTAATTATATTTAGCGTGTTCGTTTAAATTTTTATCAATAGTTATTTGCGGGGAACGGTTCAGTTTTTTGTGCTAGTGAAATGACTTGAACAGGAGCGTTTGACATGAGCTTTCGTTTTGTTAGAAGTTGACGTCAAGTTATCAATAATATCAAGTCATCATCAGAAAACAGAGAACTCTTTGAAAAACATTACAAACGTTATAAAGTAAGGAAAATTTTACACAGCATATAATATAATGTATTAACGCAGTCGATTGTTTTATTTTCGTACACCCACACGCCCATGGACCTAATAAAATCGATTTTTCGATAAACCTTTCCTTCCATCTCCCTCACGAGCATTACTTAGAACTGTCTGTTTGTTTATATTAAGATTGTGTGGCTCGGATTGTTTATGCTACAAAGAGCTAAACCGTTATAAAAATATCTTTGTCTATTTACGAGAATTAAATGCCTTGCGGTTGTTACGAAGCAGCTGCCCTAAGGAGCGAGATATAAACGGAACAATTAATGTCAACACTGTCCGGTTTAATTGGACCTTGGATTTATCATTCTTTCTGAATGAACATACGACACGAGACCTTAAGTAGACAAATGAGAGAGAGACCTTAATAATTTGGTCACGTTTGAATCACACAGGCTTGTATTGTACGGATAGTACTGAAATATGAGGCTGTAATAATAACCAATTAACAAAGCATGGGATCTAGAACAATTGGTTTATTTGCTCGATAAAATGCGGGATCTTTGAATTAATAAAATCCAATTAACTGTTAGCTGTCGTATTCAGACATGATTAGGGGCGTCATAAAAGGCATTAGTCACAGGAAGGAAATGTAATGGAAAGAATTGATAGGCATTGGAATGTGTCAGTAACTAGGTCATTTTTGTAAAAGTACTTTGGAACATCATAGTAAAACCAATATTTACTCTGATAATAACACAAACACGTCAAAGCTTTTAATAAAATTTTGTTAACGACACGCAATGCATATACAAGATGTCATTCGTGAACTAAAGGGCTCGGCGACTGGCTTATATTTTTAGCACTGTGATTTCACGATCTCATTGCTTCATTTTTAAATTTTACTCAGATTTATTCATGAAGTGAGTCATTACACTGTTTATTTTAATCTTTTATATACACAGAATGAAATGCAATAATGTTAACAAGCTGGTGTAAGTATCTCAATATCAAGTTAATTCATAGGTTTTTTGATATAACGGTGTAATATAAATTATTTGGTTTTTAAATCATATTTCAGTTGATGGTTGAGCCCTTTTACTGCTTGGGAGTCTCAGTCTCTGAGCAGGATTTTAGTGCGTCCCTTTGTTTTGGTTACAAAGGTAAGACTGTAATGAAAATAACATTTGATTAAATATTTCACCAGTTTTAGTCTTGGCTGCAGTGGTCAGTCACTTATCATTGTCATAGCTCGTTTGTAATGTTAGTATTACAAAGAAAAATTAGGCCTACGAAGCATTAAACTCATAAACTATGTCAAACAATTAGCAAGGCTAAAAATTTCTTATATTTAATTTGAGTGATAACCTGGTGAGACTAGATACACCATGTTATTTTAACAGTGGTAGAGCCACGCGGCAGCTTTTGCTGTCGCACGGATGGGCGGGCTCGAACCGGGGTGGTACCACGACCTCACAGAATACCAGCGTGAAGTAGAGGTTTACCCCTGCGTTTCGCTTGGTGAGTGCTGGTGGCTGGAAGCCCTTTTTACTGGAAATGAGGCATTCCATCTTAGTCCTCACGGGTGACAACGCATCTGCATTTTGATTTGTAATAGAGGATAGATGTAGATGTCTATGGGCCGCAGCAACCACTTATCACCAGGTGGACTGTGTGCTCGTTTGTCACCCTTATCCTATAAAAAGAAATGTCAGGATTTGTCCTGACATTTCAGGACTTTTGGACTCTCGTCAAGATTGCGGTCGGATTTTGGAAATGTCAGGATTTTCGATTTTTCAACAAAATATAGTAGGTTGCTTATACCCTTCGTAAGCAAGTTGAAGCGAGAGTGCACAAAGCTAGTAATTAATTTTTTTCACGGTTGTTAATTACGTTTGAAACAGTTTGTCAGGACTTTTCTGTGGAAATCAGGTTATTTGTGAGTATTATTCAATTTTGCATCTGGTAACCCCAGGTGAGTTTGATATTAACGACATTAAGTAATACGTTAATGTCAGACGTGATGCATAACATAATGTAAGCCAGCTACCAGGTAAAAACAAAGAAAATATTTTTACTTACTTTCTGACTTCGTTGGTGTAATCGCTGCCCCTCTCAAGGAGGTGATCGATGTTATTATTGTTAGCCTTCAGCGCTTCGTGTTTTGACTTTGAGCACACCCCGAAGACAGTCACGTTCTCCACTGTCTTCGCAAGCTGGGCAACGGCTTGACCCTGATGGAACATAACATACCTTAAGTTTTTCTTAGTGGTCAGTTTTCAGTTCACTGTTTTACTTTCACTGACGGCATTAATAAATAAAATAGATACCTATTAAAAAGATGTAAATTATTGCCGTTGGTACTGATGGCTATCAGAAAGTTTACGATAAGAATGCTTCTGTTATGAAGAATGTAACTCCTCATTTTATATAAAAAATATATAAGTTGTTTTAACATTTCAGTGGTTTTATGGAAAACAGAACAAATAAAAATTATTTATATTCTGTACCATGAAAATGATAAAATAAAAAGTAATATCTCAAACCCACCGGAAACTTCTTATACGTTTCATTACATTTTCTGATTATTATATATTCATAAATAATAAAGGCATACAGAAAAACACTTGAAACAATCAATATGACTGCCTCATAGTTAACGCTACTGGAAGTAAACGCAGTTGCTGGTCTTGACGTCCCGGGTTCGAATCCCGGGTAGGGCCAAGATCAGTTACTTTATTTAATTCTTTATTATTTAGTTAATTCTCAGTAGCACCAGCCCGGAGTCAGGAAGTTTGCGGTGTTTTACCCCCGTGCCCAGGACGGCACATTAAGCCGTCGGTACTGCGCCTGATCTCTCTCTGGTCCTGTCGAATTAGATACCATTTACGACTTCATAGTCCTGTACTGTACAGATGGCTAGTCTCCGTTCAGACTTGCCGCCGTGGCTGTAATTCGGTCTAGAGGACATATTATTATTATGGCTTATTTGTCGAGTTATGGAATAATTGGGTATAGGTGGAAAAGTATCCCTAGCAGTGGAGATGGACTGGTATGGATCGATGGAACGGGCAAGATTTGGCATTTATAAACAAAGTTTTATGTTTTATTCCAAAATGTCTCTTCATTTCTCCCCGAAAACACCTTTCGAATTATGGCAGTTCAAACACTCCCATTCCTTTGTCGGTTTTATAAACCTAAATAAATCAATTTTGTCCAAAATCATTATTGTTTCATATAGTACCTATTTGATCGATGGAAATATTTGTTTCAACTGGGACTAACACCACAAAAAATATTTTTATTTATTACCTATAAAAAATACCATATTAATTTTAAATCTCTCTCAACAACAGTTCACTGACATGCGGGCAATTTGTGACGTAATAGAGGAAGCGCGATGACTCCAGAGCTAACAAGGATTTTTCTCACCCAATTTACTCAGGCAATTAGACAATTTGTTGCACTGTTAGCGTAACTTATCATGGGGCGTGTGCACACATTAGCGGCCGCCACCTTTGTTACATAGTCCCTAATTGTGTCGGGTTTGTATAAAAAATTTATGAGTTTTTATGATATATTTGCTTCTAGAATAAATTGTCAAATATAGCTATTTAAGTTGTCAAATATACTTCTCAAACGACGCCGTTTCATTCAAAAAGTCTTCGTGGCGTTAGATACTCCTACCTACGAAAAAGAATTAGAGTCCCGTGCAAAAAACCAAAACCATAAAATCCATTCGTAAGACATTTCACGCGGACGAAGTCGCGGAGAACAGCTAATCAATATACTAAAGTTTGTCATAAGATAACTGTGCATCGTATGCAGCTAAGATCGAATACATAACATTATAGCGGACTATTAATTAATTATAACACCAGTGTCCAAGTGTGTAAGAGTCAGCATTGCAAGGATCATCAGTACTATTTATAGTTAGTTTGATCACTTGTTAAGGTTCCACCGATCACGAATAATTTTTAAATTATAATTGCTTCACTAATATGGAGTGCTACTAACCACACCGCCACCGGCAGAATGCACAAGTAGACTCTTGCCCGGAGTCAGGTTGGCCATCTCAAACAGCAGCAGATACGCGACCACGTAGTTAGTGGTGACGGCCACGGCATCCAGGGCGGTCATGCCCTCAGGCAACGCGTAAACGTACTGAGCTGGGACGGAAACCAGCTCAGCCCAAGCCCTGTACTCCGGCAGTGCCACGACTTGATCGCCGACCTGTTGACAAATGTATAATTATAAAAAAAAAATTACAGATACGCAAGTTTTACAGAACAACAATAATCCAAGTTTAAGAATATCCGCTACCACATCGTCCCGGGGGTGTCGTGAGAAGCGACAGAGAGAAAAAACCAGAAGATGGGCAGAAGCGTCTTACTAATAAACAACTAGACTATACGCGGTAGAGCCATGCTGCAGCTATAGTAGTAGTATAGTTGTACGAATGGGTCGGCTCGACCGGGGAAGGACCACGCGCTCACAGAATACCAGCGTAAAATAGCAGCTTAACACTGCTGTGTTTCGTGTGGTGAGTGTAGAGGACGGGAGACCCTTTTTTCTGGATAAGAGGCATTCCATCTTAGTCCTCACGAGTGACAACGCATCTGCATTTTGATTCGCAAACGAGGATAGATGTAGATGTCTATGGGTCACAGCAACCACTTACCATCAGGTGGACTGTGTGCTCGTTTGTCACCCTTATCCTATAAAAAAAAAATATGATAAACATATTATAATATACAAAATCTTAACATATAGTGTATGTAAAGACAATAAAAACTGCGGTTGCCAACTCCCCTACCAAGCGTGGCAACTATGGCAAAGCCTTGTCATGCTATATCATGATATAAGCCTTAGCATGATATATGGGCTTATCTGTGGTGGAGGCCTATGTTCAGCAATGGACTTTTATATACTATAATAAATTAATAAATGGAGAACATTAGTACATACAATACGTAAAGAAAATACATTCACACAGAATTTAATTAATTATGATGTAATCCTGTATTCACTGGAAGTTAAAAAAAATTGTGCGTGTCTATAAATCATAGCATAAGGATTTAAGTAAGAACTGTTTTGCATATTGTTTTGTATACATCGTGTCGGTCAAACGGACAATATGAATGTTTTCTTTTTTTTTTAATGTCATAAGTTTATTAGTAGGTAAGTTAATTTAGTTTTAACCTTAAACTTTCTCTGTATAAAGGTTTAAGAATAATAAATAATAAAGCTAGGCATTTAGGAATAATTAATAATTTACAAGAATTAAAAGATGAAACATAATTACATTATCAGATGAAATTTAGTAAATACCGTACTCAAAGTTTTTATCGATTAGCCACATAAGAGTTTATTTGATAGGTATACTAAGATACTATAGGTATAGCCATTCTATTCTAATATCCTAATCATTTCACATATTATCAAACTTATAATATTATATAGTAGTTACACATAAATGTAATTACATATAATGTTTATCGTTAAATTAAGGAAATAATGCTTACAATTCCGAATGATTCTACATTTCATCACCTATATATTATTTATTTGATTTAGACACGTATTTAAAGTTAATAAAATTGTGTATTAATTTGAACCATCGAATTTAGTACTAAAGAAAGTGGTTACAAGCATGATATTACAAATCTCGGACTATAAAAAAAATTATCCGTGATATAAAGGATATAACATGCGGTAATATAAGTTAAAGTCTGTTTCCCTTTCAATACTGGTCATATTACAACATAATTAAAAAAAAAAACAATTACATTCATGATATGCCAATTAATAAATCACATCCTATACTTATTATTAAATATAAAACTCGCTATCATTAACATAAACACTTCCTTTCCACTGCAAGCAAACAAATGTATAATTGAAGGTTTTCTAAAAACATACATTTATATTGTTTCTCTACGCTTCAGGTTTGACTGGATTACGCGAAAAAGCATTACAAAATAATATTTTAACGCAGTAGTATTTTTTATAGAATAAGAGTGTCAAACGAGCACACAAACCACATGATGGTAAGCGGTAGCTGTGGCCCATAGACATCTATTCTCGATTACGAATTACGAATTAAAATGCAAATGCGTTGTCACCCGTGACGACCAAGATGGAATGCCTCCTTTCCAGTAAAAAGGGTCTCCGGTTCTCTACACTCACCAAAAATAGATTAGATTATTAATATAAATTATTAATACACTTCTACATCTATCCTCGCTTGCGAATTAAAATGCAGATATGCGTTGTCACCCGTGAGGATTAAGATGAAATGCCTCTCTTCCAGTAAAAAGGGTCTCCAGTTCTCTACATCACCATACGAAACACAGCAGTGTTAAGCTGCTATTTACGCTGGTATTCTGTGAGAGCGTGATCCTTCCCCGGTCGAGCCTACCCATTCGTGCTACAACTATATTACTAATATAGCTGCAGCATTGCTCTACCACGTAATAAATATGATTATGAACATTCCTCTTTTTATTTTTTATTATTAGCAAGATATGTAACTGTTCTCCGTTTAAATTTTATACAACGAAAGGAACAAAATTATTTTTAAATCAAAACTATATACCTTCAATCTAAAAATGATTAAGTTAATCTTAGGATCGCTTATCTATGGTTCGTAACATTTTATGAAACTAAGGTTGGTCTCTTATTTAGTAACATGTCAATAAGTATGAGTAAAACAGTGTACAATAAAAGTTGCTAATAAAAAAAAATTAATGAACTTTACCTTGAAATTGGTGACACCCTCGCCAACTTGTTCGATCTCACCGGCGCATTCGAAACCAAGGATGAAAGGTGTCTTGGGCGGGGAATCGATAGCACCTTGACGTACAATTAAGTCTTGGAAGTTTAACCCACTGTAACAATAACAATATTATTAATAGCAGTCAATAAGAATAGTAGTAGAATAAATAATAAAAAATTGGCAAAAATAGTAATTAGAAAGACAGATAATTTTGATGTTCCAAAGATATAAAAAAAACGAGAAAGCGATCACCAACAATATTTATCACCAATATATTTATATTTAACATTTATATTTGAAAATATATCAACGTGCATGAAATCATTTGTATACTGTACGGAGTATAATATACAATATTAAAACATTGAAGTAATATGTACATTTTACTTTACTTCAATGGTTCACAACGGCAATTTTAATACAACCCTATCCAAAAACCAATAATTTTTGTACATATTTTTATTCCGGGCCGGTTACAATATAATAATAATAACAAATAAATAAATTTGAAGTGTCTGTTTATAATGTCAAAATACCAGCATTTTACTAAATGCATATGAAAGTATATACGATACTTATAACAAAACACGATTTTAAAATTTTTTGTCTGTGTCTGTTTGTTCCGGCTAATCTCCGAAACAGCTGGGCCGATTTTGACGGAATTTTCACTGGCAGATAGCTCACACAAGGAGTAACTTAGGCTACTTTTATTTTAGAAAAAGAATTAGAGTTCCGCGCAACATAATTAAACCCCTAAATTACACGCGGGCGAAGTCGCGGAGAACAGCTACTTGCAAATAATTATATTCAAATCTGTATTCAGTAAGCCAGTGAGGCATTATTACCTTTTTCAGTGGTATGAAAAATGCATAAACGTAATATGCGCTGAGACTATCCATTGTTTTCTATTAATAAGATCCTACTTAAACAAAGCCAGACGATAGAGCGAGTAAACTGTTTATTTTATTTCTATCGCGTGTTTCCTCCACCTCAGACACCAGACACCTTCATTGTCTCACCACTGCACTGTTACGTAGGTTAAGTTAAAACGGAAGTTTTGCTATGAATGTTTCGATTCTATTTAACTATAACTATAACCGACCACTGTTAAAAAATGAACTATCGTCTTATTGTGCTCGTTTCCTTTTCATTATAATTTGTGATCATTATAATCTGCCTCATTTTCATTGTAGCTTGCAATACAACTTAGAATAAAAATACTTTTCTGGCTGATTTTTCTATCATCAGAAAAATCGTCCACTAAATAAATTATATCCTGACGAAATATAAAATTGAAAAAAAAAATGATCTACTACTGTATTTTCTAATTTATTTGTGTTGTAATAACTTTTATTTTGTGATTGAAAATTTTCCTTAAAAATTTAATATTAGAACGCAGTCCGCCCTTTGTATTCTTTTGATTTAACACGTTTACTGTCCATGAGGTAAGCCCTGACCTCATTGGAGATTGCTACTGACACCTTCGTGAGGTCACCCTTACTTCACGACCCCCTGTTAAAAATATTACCGTCCGTTATTTTTCTACAGAGATACTTGAATTTGCTATTACTAAAAAACGAAATTACTAGAGATTATGTAAAAACCGTAGACATTTTAAAAAAGAAGATTCATTTTCTGTCCGTACGGTTAATAAGATCAACCTTAACTTCACATAATATCACACGCACACGTCCTTGAGGTCGGGGTTGACCTCATTAGGTTTTTGGCCTATTAAAAAAAACCAAAAAGAATTGAAAAATAAATAACATCTAAACTGGATTACTAGGATCTATATTTATCTATTATGATCGAAATCTAAAGTTTATATGTGATTTTATACGCGGACAGGTAACGTGTTAAGGAATGCAATAAAGAATAAATAATAAAAATAATAACGTGCAATAAAAGATAACTTTACTTGTCAAACGTCCTATATCTTTATATATAAAAATTAGGTGTCACATTGTTTGTCCGCGATGAACTCCTAAACGACTGAACTGATTCCAATAAAATTTTGCACACTCTGTGCAGTTTGGTCCAACTTGAGAGATAGGATAGTTTTTATCCTGATAAGTGATCCTCAATTTTTTTTATTGCTAATCTCAGGAGTTTTTTTTAGGAAAGCAAATGGTCGTCGGAAAGGGCAGAACAACGTCTGCCTGGTCAGCTAGTAGTAGTATAAAATATTCTTTTATTAGTTTTATTATTACTACAATAATATTATATTACCTAACACGTGTGCTGTTTGAAAGTTTATAAGTGACCTCCTTGAATTAGTTTTAAACCCTCAAAGTTAAACTAGTCTCTCTCAACGTATATTTAAATATTGTACACGAACATTGTACCGAAAGCGAAACGAAGAGATTCGCAATATGGCAGGTTTGAAAGATGACCTTATCACAAAAATTGATAAGGGCGTGCTTCGATGGTTTGGGCACGTTGAGCGAATGAGTGAATACCGAATGGTGAAGAAAATATATAGCGCGAAAGTTAATATTAAAAGGTATCGAGGTAGACCGAGGCTAACTTTCGAAGACCATGTGAGCAAATTGCTCGAAGAGGGGAGGGTCAAGAGTACTCGGATACCTAGACGTGCATGTATGAAGAAGATAATGAATCTGAAAGAAGCGAAAGAGGTATGTAAGGATCGTGACACTTGGCGATCTGTTCTCTCTGGCTACCCCGTCAGGGATTGTGCGTGAAGATAAGTAAGTAAGTAAGTACACATGGAGTAAAAAAATATTTTGAACTAGGTATTTGAATGATTCATTCCATTATTATTCAACATGGCCCTTCATATTATTATGGATCTGTGGAGCATTCAATAAAGTAACACATCGCCTAATTAATGGAGCGAGGCAAGGCTGGAATGCGGCAGCCGCTTGTTATAATGCGCCAGAATACAGGCACGATCGACATAATATATTAGAAGCTCATATTTAAATAACACACACTGATGTATCAATCGACAGCAGTATGTACCTACTCTGTTCTGACGTGCGAAGACCATTTTTATTTACTAGGGGAAGTGTCAACATGGAGCAAAAATATCGTTCGATGAATTCTACCGAATACCAAAACGCTGTTTAATAACCGGCCAAGTGCGAGTCGGACTCGCGCATGAAGGGTTCCGTACCATCGTAATACACGTTTCTAGTAGCTAATTTTTATTATTTGTTGTTATAGCGGCAACAGAAATACACATTCTGTGAAAATTTATTGTATTATTACGGATCATGAGATACAGTCCGCTATCAGACAGACGGACAAACGAACGGACGGACAAACGGACGGACGGACAGCGGAGGCTTAGTAATAGGGTTCCGTTGATTACCCTTTGGTTACGGAACCCTAAAAATGATCGTATATTTTGCATTGTAATATATTTAAAAATATTAGGTAATAGTAGGTCATAAACATGAAATTATTCTATTATCATCAGTTCCAATATTTCAAATTATTTAGACGTCTAAAAGTGAGTAGAAACTATAAACAGAATTACATTCCTACACAAATACAAACATGTATGAACACATACAGGTCAAGCTAATACGAAACGTAAAGTTAAATAAAACAATGCCTACATACATAATTTATATTGACGGCAATGACTAACGCATTTGAAATTGTCCGTCAGTAAGTTTTTCACTAGGTAATCAAACTACTCGAACACTTCTTTGGAACTCTTTTCCCTAAGATATTAATTAGGCTCGTAATTAGTTCAGATTCAAAAAGTTGGTACGCATGAATTTTGTTTGTAAAAAGTGTTTCTTTGTGAAGACATCGGTGAAAGTCATATTATTTTATGCTTACGTATGTTATGTCTGTCTTATGTTGTTTATGTTTTACCTACGTTTGTATTCTATGTAATGTATGAAGTTGCTGTTTTAATGGAGTGGTTACTTTAAATTAAAATTACTTATTGGTCCAACATTTGTGATTCGCAATGAAAACTTATTTTATTCAAAAACAAACTCCGACGTGCTTCTAACGCAACAGAGAGAGCTCGCAATAACGTGCTGCATTTGGAAAGGATGATACTTCTAACGAACGCATTATGCTTTTTTGTTTTAATCAAAAATAATAAATGAATTACAACGATAGGTAACTAAATTAACTTTAACTTTAATTAATAACGATGTATTAAAAGTAATACTGCAAACCATTCTTATTAAATAACAAAGGAATTACCGTCATGGTTATTTTACCCAAAAGATTGACATTTGCATCGAATTGGTAAAATTAAAAAAAAATTGAGAAATGGGTGCCTCTTGAATTGACAGACGTGCAAAAAAGAGGAGCACGCTTTAAAGCTTGCTTTGATGAGTACGTGCAGAAATGAGATTGATTTTGGACATAATTGTGACGTGTTATAAAGAGTGAATATTTTTGATAATCGCAAGCGCAAAACACAATGGCTTGATCCAGATCTATCCTTTGTCGTCTGCGAGTGCATCATTGCACCGCAGGTCTCAGGCCCCGGGGCATCCCCCATTACCCGGCATCTCCTCGCGGTACACACCTATGTACCGGTCGTGGGCGAGGTTCGGTATTTTAAGTGTAGGCAGCGGACGGGGGTTTGATTCCCCGTTCGCTGGAAATTGGTGTCAATCCCAGGTCAAATAATGGAACAATAACCTAAACTCGAGCTAAGCCATAGAAAAAGTAATGGTAACCTGTATAGTGGTAACTTTATGATATAATTCATTAAGATCCGGTGTATTAATTAAGCAGAAATGTTTATTGTGAAGGCCTTCGAAAAACAGCGAAACTCTCTGAGAAGTCACGATTCTTCAATCGATCTTCGTTATTACTGCGCCATAAATAATGACAGACCTAGGAATAACTCCAACTGATTGCCATGTTTGCCGCAATTTGAAAAACTTTACGTAGTAGAGCCATGCTGCAGCTATATTAGTAGTATAGTTGTAGCACGAATGGGTCGATTCAACCGGCGAAGGACCACGCTCTCACAGAATACCAACGTAAAACACCAGCTTAAAGCTGCTGTGGAAATGAGACATTCCATCTTAGTCCTCACAGGTGACAACACATCTGCGTTTTGATTCGTAATCGAGGATAGATGCAGATGTCTATGGGCCACAGCAACCA